ATGTTTGTTACTCTTACACGCAAAATCTTACTGAACGGATTTTGATGAAACTTTAACTGTAATATAGCTTAGGCATCAGAATAATGTAGGCTATTTTTTACCACAGCTAGTACAGACCATAATTGGTTTCGGAGATATACAAGTTCGTACAAGTAGAACTCTAAAACATTAATGTCACCTCTGCCTAACTAGTCACCCATTTTGTAATCTCGGCACCCGCAAGTGATAACGTCTATCGGAGATAATAATCAAGGTCATAAACGGAATTTCTCTAAAACCGGCGTCAGATATGCCAGCTCTATTTAATATTTCAGCATGTGTTCAATCTTTGAACAAACATTTGCATTCTGCGGACGCGTTTTCAATATGTTTGTTAATATACGTGTACTAATTTGTACAAAGTTGTCACCTATTATTGTAGAGGGTTGTTTCGTGTACTGTAATTTAGTGATGGATTATTACAGAGAAATTACAGGGTACGGAGGATTAAAGTGTCATACTTTAATTCTCTGGAATGGGACCGCATGAGATGTATATGCAAGTAAAATGACGTATATTATTTTGTTCATGTATATGGACAATGGTTGCCACTTTCTACCCAAATACCGTCACTTTGAAATAGCCGGCCTCGGTGGTCTGGCAGTTTAGTACACCGCCTCACATCCGACGGTCGCAGGTTCGATTCCTTGCACGGTACAAACATTTGTATTCATGAGTATGTACGTATTGATCTGATTGTTTTCTATGTATATTATGTATGTATTTACAAATAAAATGTATATAAGTAGTACTCATAACATAAGCTGTGCTTAGCGTGGGACTAGATGGCGCTATGTGAATTATAGGATATTATTATTATTTGAGTCACATAAATAGAAGCACTAACACAATTGTCTGTATTATTTTTGTAAGTTGCGCCATATTGATTATTCTTTTGCAAACATTAAAATCTATATTTATTATGTGAGTAATTGCTATAAGATAATATATTTGTTTGTCATGTAGAATTCTAAAATATTATGCTATAAGTAACACTCAAATAACATATTTATATTGAAACTTATACATGTAAATATATATGCTTTTATTAACCTTTTATCTAGTATTTAATTGATTTCTGACATTTCATTAAACAATAATCTAAGTAATTACGATAACGAAATATATTATACAATAAATTTGGCACAATTATATATAGGATAAAGTAGTAATAATAATAGAATAAGACATTCTTTTTATATAAAACACTATATAGATAGATAAATTCTTTATTCAATAACAAACCCTGCGTCGCGTTGCTGTTGCTAAGGTTCTTGAATAAAATAATATTGCGACTATAACTTGCGATGTAAGCTATCTTATCTTTTAAGTTGGATCAAATTGCACACAATGTGCAAATCAAATTTGCAATCGGTTTTAGTTTAGAAGTCCATCGCGGACAAACAACGTGATACGTAATTTTTATATGTAAAGATTTTTGCCCACTTTTCGTATCGTATTTTAATACATGTATATTATATTATATTGTATTTGGTAGGCTATATGTCTGAATTAAATACGTCATTGTGAAACACTTTACTATGTTACTGTTTCAATTGAGTTTCTTGCCAGTTCTTCTCATTGGATCTAAACACCGAACTGGACGGTAGGAAAAAAAATATAATATAAAAAATTTTACGCTCATAAGCGGCTAAAATGTCCTACATGAATAAATGATTTTTGAATTTGAATTCAAATGTTTTTTACATTTGTGTTGGGACTCTCCTGATGGAAACATGTGTGGGAGAAGCAGCGCCGGGCGATTCCTCGAATGCTCTCACAATACAAACATTTGTATTCATGAATATGATTGTTTGTATCGGTCTAGATGTATTCTATGTATAATATGCATTTATTTAAAATAAAATTAATTCATATAATTATATCAGTTGTCTAGTACCCATAACAGAAGCTCTGCTTATAACTTAGGACTAGATGGCGCTGTGTGAATTGCCTGAGACATTATTATCATCATTACATAGTATAAAACAAAGTCGCCGTCCCTATGCTTGTATGTTTAAATCTTTAAAACTACGCAACGGATTTTGAAGCGATTTTCTTTAATAGATAGAGTGATTCTAGAGGAATGTTTATATGTATAATATATGTACACCCTTGCGAAGCCGGGGTGGGTAGCTATTTAAATATATATATATATATATATACATTGTACTTAAAGAAATAGATGGAATCTAAAGTGCAACGTCGGGCACGTACGATGCGCGTGCGCCGCGTAGCGAAGCGAAAAGGTTGCGTGTACGCGCCTCAGCGCCATTTGCGCGCTGTGAATTCTTCAAGCTACGTATTATATTGTTACCATGTACTACAAATCATTTGTTCAAACAACAGTCTATTTTAAAGAACATTTTAAACATATAACAAGACTATATGTAGTTTAATAATTTGAATAATCATAGTATTCATTTTTCCACATATCTCATGTGGATATAATTTTCTTGAGTGCGTTAGCATTATTATATTTTTTTTCTTTTTATAACACAGGGGACAAACGAGCATGCGTTAGCATTATTAAAAAGGAATATGAAGGTTGTATCGGTTCGGAAATGCATGTTGTTATGCATATAATAAAAGTGTAACTGATTACTATCTATATGAAAGATATATAAATAAATGAATAACCCTGGACAATAAACACAGCGCCATCTAGTCCCATGGTAAGCAGAGCTCGTGTTATGGGTACTAGACAACTGATACAAATACTGGATAGATATTTTTTTTGTAAATACATACTTACATAGGTAATACCCAGACCGATACAAACAATCATACTCTTGAATACTATTTGTGCCGTGTCAGGTATCGAACCCGCGACCATCGGAAGTAAAGCGGTGTTTTAAACCGCTACACCACCAAGGCCGTTATTATGTTGTTATGTATAAAAATGTAACTATATAAAGATATATGGAAACTATTATTGGTGATTTAAAAAGCGTTAACAATCAAATTGAACCCGATACTATGATTATTAGAAGTTTTGTCTCTTTGTCTATGTGTTTGTTCGTAACATTGGTTAAGCAGTTTCTGAAATTAGCGGGAACAAAACTAGTTTTCGGTTTTCTGTATTGTGGTAAGGTTTACTTTGAATTATATAGTTTTTTTATATCAATCGGAATACTACCAAACAATTATTTATTTATTCTCTGTAATTAATGAACGATCTTTATTTATTTATTACAGCTATAATTAGTTGTAGAATATGTTTTAAATTGTATTTTTGAAAGCCAATCACAAATATTACCTTAATTTTACATATGGTGAAGTATAAGAAAATATATTGTATAAGAAAAAAAATGGGTTTCTAAAAGAACTTTATTATCTATATCATATGCCTCCGTACCTAGTAATTTCACTGGCAAATAGATCCTCCTATAACACGGCACTCTTATAACGCATTCCCATATTACGCAATTTCAATCCCCCTATAACACCGGCATTCTCCCATATAATGCGAGGATTTCCCACATTATATTTCTATTTTTTTTTAAGTTTAATCACATAAATTAAAACATTTTTCTTTAAAATGTTCTTAGTTTAGTTTGATTTTAATAAAACGTATATATATCGTTCATAATATAGTTTTTAACATATATTATTTAAACATGAATAATAAATAAAAAAAAAATAGAAAATTTAATTTAAATCGCGTTATAAAGGGGCGTAATAACGCGTATATGGGAATACACCTACAACACGTTTTCCTATAACGCGCAACCAATATATCGTGTTATAGGGGGATTACTGTTTTTGAATTTCGAATTAATATTAAAGACCATTTCACACGGCACGAATTGTTTTCCGTCACTGCAATACCCGTAGCGTCATACGAATGCTTCTAAATTCAAAACAATTGTAACGAGTTTGCGTCAGTCCAACGGCTCATATGAATCTCCACGGTAGGTATACGTAATAATTTATTACCGTGAATCATTTTTACGTGGGAATTGAACTTGTGACGGTATTAATATATGTAACATAAACAATAATTTCCAGAAACTTCCAATGAAATGTAATAGATAAAATTTCAGATAAAGCCAATAAATTGGTCATAAGATTAGGTCGATCGAAGACTAATTATCGAAGACTTTTTTAAAGTAAACTTGAGTATTCTCACGTAGTGAATATTTAATGTTGCAATCATTCTGGTCAGCAGATAAGGAGACAGCTTCCGTTAACAGACAACGACAACAACAAACTACATCGCAAAGCCTTCCTGTAGGTGAAATAAGCGATATAATTCATAGACAATCTTACAACTTTTTTTTAAACAAATGATCCAATAGGAAATGCAAAGGAACTGTATTCGTACATCTTAAGCACAAATAATACATCTTTATAAAGACTTATTGTCTGTGTAACGCTAAATAATATGTTACTGTATTCTTAGATGTATTATTTTTACTGATTTTATTATACTTAAATAAAGAAAAAAATATATAACACAACAGATAACATTTGTCAACAATAGGTACTCGAGTGGTGTAGATAGATTGCCGAAAATCTTAAACAGTTCGAATAGATACTGAAATCATTAAATTACATAGTTTTTATTTAATTTTTAATTTTATAAAATTTAAAAAAGAACATTGGGAATAGTTCGTTTTAGGATTGAACTGAATCAAATGCTGCGGCGAACTATATACAAGATTTGACTGCTAGAGAAGTTATTAGGACTCGTTTCTACTAACCGAGTGTACTTAATAGTTTTCTGCGTGGGTAGAAAACAATCTGCATAACGCACAGTTGTAAATGCCACCGCGGAAAAGCGCATGTTAATTTAAAATTACGACAATCCCCACATAGCAACCGGGGTATAATACGACGCCTACGCACTCTAAATTAAGCGTGAAATTTTTTCACTAATACGGAACTGCTCCGTTTGGACGCGCGCCATTCCTGTGGCCGGTTTTGACATCACATGATTATGTTACGGATTCGCTTACCTTCATGTCGTCGAGCATATCACAGGCGGAGATGAGGGACGCGGTGTCCGGGGTCACTTTTATGACTCCCATCGTGAACTGGAGAGTAACAGCAGCCGAAGTTCGCAGGAGTCACACTAAGGACCGAGACGGCCGTTTGGGTGTCTAATTTCCTGACGAAACTTGAATAGTCCAGTAAATTTATATATGCGAGTGACGCGTGAGTCGGTGTATTTTAGGAACACTAAACGCGAGACGTGCTCACGTTGTGACCGAGCCGCGCGGACTGAAGTCGCGACTTCAACGCCATTCGGACAGTGAAAGGGTCTTGACGTCACGTACGATAACGCGGACCGTACCCCGCGCTCCTCGACGCGACTTGTTGCTACACCTGTCGTCCTTGTCACACTCACCGCCGGTTATATGTCTGTCCCTTTCGCTAATGACATGACACCTCGCCGGTTGATTAAACGTACTTGTCCATAAATACGCATTACACTACTCATAATTGTACATTTCTTACCTTTTAGGAATAAATTGCAATATATGTGAAATATTTAATAATGATAGACACGTTATAATAATTTCAAGATTAGTTTATTTGTAGCAAGTAAACAGGTCTGATAAATATGAACTAGGAATAATATTAAGTAGAGTTTTAGTTAGCGGCAGATACTTGTTTGGTGCGGTCTGAGTCCGCATGAGTGTGAAAAAAAATAAACTACGCAAGACGCGTCGTAGAAGCGTCTACGAGGAGTCGCGCGTGGGCGTAGAGGGGTCCCGTCTACGTGCGTAGTGCGCGTAGCCTTCTACGCAGCTACGCAGCCATCCTGTAGAGTAGCTACATAAAAAGTATTTTTAGATTATTTTATTTATTCTTATACGTTTAATGTTTCGTCTATAAATAAAACATTAAACAACTCCTTAAACAAATATTCTTTATTTTTATAAGCATTTGATAACGTATAATAATATATTATTTTAAATGTGTACCCACTTAGTATTATGTGAGTAAGAATTAAAGTTTTTTCCTCTGTACCTACTTCTTAAAAGAACAGTAAATGTCAACCTATTTTAGTTATCCAAATATTTTGATCGGGCTATTTTTATCAATTGAAGATAGAACAAAGACGATGTAGGAGGATTTACTTATAAATAGTAAAAAAGTTATAATTTAAGATTTGATCATTACGATATTGTATGGATAAAATTTGAAATAGGGAACAAGTTATGTTTATTTTATTAAAATCAAACACAGTGAACTTGTCTTGTCTATACTTGTAATAAAAATGTAACTGATCATTGTCTATATATAAAAGATATATTACATAAACTCAAGTGTATTCTACATTTTTTTTTATTACTAATAAGTTCTTGTATTATTGTCTTGTTGTATAGTTCATTTTTTTCTGTCATTTTCTACTATATAACTTATAATATAGAGTTGAGAATGAACTGTCTCCCGCCACATATAAGCCCAGATTCAAGTGGTATATTTAACATAACTATAGTGGGATAAAGGGATCGTCAGTAATGTGAAATAATTACTACATCACTAGTAATATACCAAGTCAGGTACCTCCACACTCCTGGAAACCATCGTGATTAATTCCTGGTAAAGTCACAATAGACCAACTGACCTGACCTCATGCTCATCTTACCATCCTCCACTAGTGCCCCGCCAGCGTAAACCGTTAGCGCACCATTCCATTAACATCCATGAAAAAAATAAATAACTATAGTGTTTAATAATATAATCATTATTACATAGTATAAAATAAAGTCGCTGTCGCTGTCTGTCCCTATGTATGCTTAAATCTTTAAAACTACGCAACGGATTTGAAGCGGTTTTTTTTAATAGATAGAGCGATTCAAGAGGAAGGTTTATATGTATTACTACCTACTCGCCCTATCTTCGCCATGTATTATACATATAAACTTCTCGAATTAGTATATATATTAAAAAAACCGCTTCAAAATCAGTTGCGTAGTTTTAAAGATTTAAGCATTCATAGGGACGGCCAGGCAGCGACAGCGATACATGTACATCCGTGCGAAGCCGGGGTGGGTAGCTAGTTTAGTAAATAAAGAAACACTGCAGTATTCTCATATATCTAGTTTATCTTAGTTATTGTATTTATTCCATTGACATTTTAAGATGTTATGTAAGATGATATGACAAGGTGATATGTAGATTAATCTCTTTATATACATATATGACGGCCTCTACCGGTTTAGCACGTTACTTCCGATGGTCGCGGGTTCGATTCCTCGAACGGTAGAAACATTTGTATTCATTAGAATTGTTTGTATCGGTTTTGGTGTTTTCTATGTATATTGTTGCTGGCAGCTTGTCCATCTTTATTTTTATAAATATTGTATTATTTTGATATCATTTTTTATATGTCACTTTGATTATTTTATATGAGTCCTTTTGGGATTTGTATGATTTATAATATAATATATTTATTTCTCCTCACAAACATGGATGGCAACAATATATGTAGTATTTATTATAATAAAATACTTAAACACCTATATATATATAATCTGTATTTTATATCTATATACAATTATATTTATTAATAAAAAAAGTCATTGTGTTCCGGCTCCAGTCACATATATATTTAGAAAAAAAATATAATTAATGTATTTATATCAGTTCACTAGTACCCATAACACAAGCTCAGCTTAGCTTCGTCCTAGACGGGCTGTGTATTCTGAGATATTATTATTATAAATCCATCCAAATGGCTCGATAGTTAGCTTAACCTTGAAATCGTTTCCGATAAGGTATCGCAACTCGATTGCGAGCTCTTCTAAGTCATGTCTCAATATTAGACATTAAACATTGACGAAACAAAACGAAAGCAATTACCTTCAATTACCGAAAATGAGACTATCATTTGGAGAGTTACAAAGGTCATCTAATATGACATTGACCTTATGACTATGACTTGCGAATCATAGACCAAGATCTTAAGACACAAACATACACATATTATATTAAAATTATTATATATTATAAGTACTAGCTGTGACCAGGGTTCATCCGCGTTAAATTTCAATATAAAATATAGCCTATGTGTAATTCTCATGCATAAGCTATATTACTGTAAAGTTTCATAAAAATTCGTTCAGTAGTTTCTGCGTGAAAGAGTAACAAACATTCATACTTACAAACTTTCGGGTTTATAATATTAATATTAGAATCATATTAGCTCTTGTGTACATTTAAGAATACATGTTAACATTATAAATGCAGACGTTTGTCTGTTTGTTACCTTTTCGCGAGTTATCGTTTGAACGGATCTTGATGAAATTTTAAGTTAAGTTAGACTTTATCACGAGTATTGACATAAGCATATATCCATTTATTATTTATGAGATATAAGAAGGTAACAGTTAGTTAAAACATATTTTACTAGCTATACCCGCGGTTTTACTCGTGTGAAATTTATAGTCTATGTATTATTAAATACAAATTAAAGTTAAATCGATCTTTACATTCACAAACTTTCGCGTTTATAATATTTTGGTTAAAGTTTTTATACACTAGATACCAATAAAAACTTAAATTTGACGACAACAAAAATCTCATATTCATTATAATTAAAATTGATTGCTAATAAAATTATTAAGTAAATTATTTACGCTACAGTGGAGTGTGTAAGTACCTTTATCCCATTATTTGGTCGTTCCGCAACTTTTAGCAGGTGACAGGCCTTTCAACGGCCGTGATTTATTATGGGACCTTTGTGTCTGTGTCATGGAGTCGTCATTACGAATATTCACACAATATTTATTTTATTAGCAATTTTTAACAACCTTCCAATGTTGAATGTTCAAGTGGTTTAAAACAAGGTAAGCTATATCATAAATGAAATATATTGAAAGTTAAATTCTACAAAAGAAATATTATTATGTGTATTAAATAACCTGAGAAGTAACGATCAACCACTGGGTTGGTTGCTAGCTCCAAATAAAAATAAACTGACTTCGTCCATATCGTAAGTCTTGTACTCTATACGATGCCGGTTCAATGTCTGTAAACACATTTTACAAGTTAAGTTAGAACCAGTTCCATGTCACTTAGCTGAAATTGTACGTAAGAACGTATATAAGTAAATTATATGACAATACAATGATTTACGATGTAATAATAATAAAATAATGAAGCCAGCAGGTAAACACATTTCCGCTATAATAAATTGATACACCGTAATTTGTATATTTTAACTAATAGTCTAAGCATCTGAAAATGAAGGTCTTCAGCTCAGCATTTAAAATTTTTTCCTAGAAAGTAACACATATTTGGTACAAGATATATTTTCAATCGAAAGCATTTATTAAGGAAAATTAAAAAAAAATCACATACACACACACAAGTAAAGCCGCGGCGAATAGCAAGTAAATAATAAATTTTATTTACTTACAAATAATAAAAAAAGTTCTACTTTGAGAAAATTAGTATTTCCCTACTAATTTCGTTACCACTGAAGACAGGTTCTTATGTATTCATGTATTCCTTTGGCATAATTACATTTTTTTTTATCTCCAGCATCAAACAGTAATTAAAGAGCCCGAAATAATTTGCATAAGGACCTACTTGTAATTCTCTAATATTTTCCCTCAGTGTTGCGTCTTATGATAATATTTTATACCAGCGCAACAATATTTTATAGAGGTGACACATGACAGCTCCACATTTTTCACTCGTCTACCGCGAAGGCAAAAGGAGGGTTATGATTTTGACCGATATGTATGTAGGTATGTATGTATCTAGTAACGATTTTGTTATGAGTACTAAACAACTGACATATATATTCATATGTTTTTGGTAAAAACATATTTAATATACAACCATTAAAAATCATATCAAAATATCTTTATTCATATATGTCTACTAGCTTTTGCCCGCGGCTTCGCTGGCGTTAATTAACCCCTTAGGGGTGGAATTTATCAAAAACCTTTCTTAGGAGATGCCTACATCATAGTAGCTTTATGCATGCAAGCCCGTCAGGTTTAAAATTTACAAACTTTCATCCCCTACTTTATCCCCTTGGGGGTAAAATTAATTAAAATATTTTCTTAGCGGATGCCTAGATCATAATATCTACCTGCATGCCAAATTTTAGCCCGATCCGTCCAGTGGTTTGGGCTGTGCGTTGATAGATCACTACGTCAGTCACCTTTGAATTATATATATTAGATTACAGACTTATGATATGTCGAATCTACCATGGCCATGTAGCCTGAATGAAATAAAAAAAA